CATAGAATGACACGTAAAATTTTTTTTTTTTTGGTCTTTGTTAAGGATGATTTAATGCTTAGTTAATGTTGTAGTTGGAGAGTTTGGGCTTTAATAGAGGGTGGGTATCTCTTTAGCTTGTTGTTTCTCTCTTGGCATTTCTCAATTAAAAAAATTAATGAGTTTGGTATGCCCTATCAAATAGTTAGGGAATGTGCTATTTGTAATTAATTGGATATTTTGGTGGTCGGGGATCTTGTAGCAGTGAGGGAGGCTAGTTGGGAGAGATAAATTGCACACTAGCTTATATTTTTTTGCTTTCATCCATATTTAATATATATACCGATCTCAATCCCGTAATCTCTAATACCGTTGAAATTCAATCTCAATTCTAATCCATAAAACAATACGTATATTATGCAATACTCTGTATATCTCAAATTCCAATAGTCCACTACCAAACATCCAACAATACCTTCTATAAAGACATTTGAGAAGGAGAAGAAAGACAACATTGGTTATCATAACATACGATTTTGAATTACAATCTTTTTGTTCTTTCCGGCCAAACATACCTAGAGCCTAAAGATGTCGTTTTGGTAATATTGTATCGTCATTTGTTTCACTTCCAGTTGCACTCACCAAGAAGATGGACACGATTCTTAGCAACTTCTTCTGGTCAGGATCAATGCAGAAAAGCAGTATGCACTGGTGCAAAAGAGAGATATTGTGCTCCCCGAAGACGGAAGGAGGGCTTGGCTTCAGAAGTTTCAAAGACTTCAACTTGGCACTCTTGGCAAAACAAGCATGGAGACTTCTCTCCTCACCGGATGCACTCTGGAGCCGTCTGCTAAGAGGACTGTACTTTCCAAGGGGAAACTTCCTTTCGGCAAAGAAGGGCAGTAGAGCATCCTGGATATGGGCGAGCCTATGGGAGGCCAAAAAAGTTATTGAGATGGGAACGGTAAAAGTCATTGGATCAGGTGGGAAACATGGGTGGATAAGGATCCGTGGGTCCCTACCCTTCAGAAGGGGACTATTGGAAGCGGCCTTCAGAACCACATCAGAGTCAGGGAGTGGATTGAACCGGGAGAAAGGATCTGGAACTCAAACCTCATTCAGGGAAACGTGACGGAGGATGAATTGGAAGCTATTTTGAGAATCCCTATTGGGGAAGAGGATTTGGAGGACTTTTGGGCTTGGAAATTTAATAATGAGGGCAATTTCACTGTCAAATCAGCGTATCACGCGATCCATGAGACTAACACCATCACTGCGCCGCCAGGGAATTCTGATAAGTGGAAATGGATTTGGTCTCTACAGCTGCCTCCGAAGCTCATTTTCTTCATTTGGAGGTGTGCAAAGAATGGGATTGCCACGAAAGAGAGGTTGCGGCATCGTAAATGCTCTCCGGATGCGACATGCCCGGTTTGCCAGAATCAACTTGAATCCATCGTCCACTGCATGTTTGAGTGCCAGCATGCGTTATCTTCGTGGAACAACATTTTCCCATCTCTTCCACTTCCACCTCAATCCACCACCTTCTTTGATTGGTTCTGCTCTTTGAAAGACAGTATACAGCCCAATAGTCTCATCTTGATTGTCTACCTCTGCTGGAATATCTGGAAAGCAAGGAATGAGCGTGCCTTCAAGAATCGTATCCCGTGGCCCCCTAATACCTGTAGGCAGGCCGTCAGGGAATTCACCGAATGGACATCGTGCCCGAGACTATCCCAGCCTCATGTCCAACCATCTTCTGTTCAGCTCAGGGATAACCTACCTCATTCTTCTCCACCGCCAAGCAATCACCACATGGTGATTCACTGTGATGGGTCGTTCATAAGCGACTCCCAGCCGGCGGCTTATGGTGTTGTTGTTGTTAACCACCATGGACAAGTATGCGATGGGCGAGCTGACATTTTACTTTGTTCCACCCCGTTTGAAGCTGAAGCGAAGGCGCTTTTGGAAGGTCTCAAATTAGCCCAAGAATATGGAGGAGAATGTATTGTCCAATCAGACTGTCTTAATCTTGTTCAAGCTCTCAGACAGGACAAAGCGAGATGGCCATGGAGGGGAGCAGCATGGATGGGATCCATGAAATCGATCCTTCAGGCCTCAAATCGCATTGAGGTCAGGTTTGTTCATAGGAAGTTTAATGCTAGAGCTGATTGGGTGGCCAGGTCGTTGGCAAGAAATTCACTCCCAAATGACTGGATTAGTATTCTTGATCTGATTTCCGATTTCCTTTAGCCTTGTAACCGCCGTTTTTGGTTTCATCAGAGTGAAATAAAGTTCATCTTTGGTCAAAAAAAAGTTTGTATAAAAAGTCTAGCTAGGAGGGAGGGGCAAAGTAGAAGATAGACAAGAATGGTGTGTTTATCTGATCTTAGATTGATGAGGGAATCTAAAAATATATACAAAAGGCTTTATATGAAGACCCTACCAAGATCTTCTTTCCCCCACTTTCTTTCATTTGCAGAACCTTAAATTAGTAACTCCTTTCCTTTTTTCCCTTTGCTTTCCCACGTTTCCCCCTTTCTGGCCTCATATTTTGCACATCTTGATCGTATTTTATCAAGTCTTCTTTTACACCAACAAAGCTCTATATATGACCTGAATAACCAACACTACTAGAAGAAGTACTAATCTGATCACACAAGATCCAATAAACGATTCCTTATGATGGGAAGAATGTTAACAGGTAGCTCAGTGATTATATTCGCCTCGGAATTTAAGTCGGAGTTGATCGTCTATGGGCTCGAGTATACGATATGAAAAACAAAACACAAAACAAATTAATTTCTTCGTAAACCCTCTTGAGGCAAATACCTTTCAAACAAATATTAAAATATCTCTTGCTGAGCTTCTTGTAGCTCCAGATGCCATTTCTTTGGCGGTTTCTCGTTAGATTGCTAGAGTGGTGGTTGAAGGCGACTCGGAGTTTGTTATTCATCAACTCCATATGAGTTTCTCCTTGGATGCCCTAGGTGGACCTGCGCTGCATGATTGTCTCCAACAGATCTCGACCATGTCCAATGGTATAGAGTTTTAAGTTGTTTCCAGACTTGTCAATTGAGCTCCCTATAGAATGACACATAAAGCCCTTCCCTTGTCTTTAATAGAGTTGGCTGTCTTTTAATTTTGGCGCCTGATTATTGTTGTAATAGGTCTGGGTTGGGTTTTACAGAAAGTGAGGTGTTTTTTCGAATTGTTATTTCTTTTTTGACATTTCTCGAAGGGAACAATTAAAATATCGCTCAATAATGTAAAAAACTAAGTAAAAATAACCCATTTTAGTTTGAGAAGTCCACTTCTAGTCCCCATATTGTTCGCACATTCGAAATATCTATGGGTTTCGAGCTTGTTATATTCTTCAACCATCGATCAAAGCTTGACTTTATGCTTTTGCTCAAAAACCCACTTCCCCCTTGCATATATATGGAAGACTTAAGGGAGGGGGTCCTCAATCATCATGATATTGGAATGGACGATTCTCTTTAAAAGGCAGAAGAGAAGATAGATAGAGAGATATAGAGAGATAGGTAAATGGAGGGAAAAGGTCGGTTGGATGGGTATGGCTTCCCCACGTCCTCCAACCATTCTTTGTTGCCAACTTTCCTTCTTCCTTTTCCTTTTCTATATCGTTTTATCTCATCCCTTTCTCTCTTTTATCTTCACACGAATTGTCAAAAGCCCCACTAGAAACCACAACCACTCTCATCTATGTGTGTATGTCTTTCGTCCTCGATTGCATAATAAACGCGTTCATATTCTTCTAGTTTCCATTGTAATTCTTTCAGCTTTGAATTTTCATTCTATATCGTTTCTCTCACAATTTGGATTTAGAATTTCGTTTTTTGAAAGTCTGTAAGAGATTGGGTTCGATAGTATGAATTATGAATGTTATATATTTAATGGAATAACTCTCAAATTTAAGATGTATGTTGCAATGAATGTGCTACTCGAAGAGCAATCAGTAAAAGCGGAGATATGATACAAACATACTATGGAGTGCGGTCGTCGATAAAAGTTTAATGGATACGTGGAACAAGCCAAAGATTTGAGAAGAGGTATTTAGCCAATACATGTATTATTGAGAATAAGTCATTTTTTCATTTTATTTTGAGCCACGATATGTTGATAGGAAGAAAAAATATTTGAATTTTATGATTCATCCAAATTCTTAGGTCTTGAGATTTAAACAGTCAAAATGATTTATGAACGTATTAACTTAAGGTCATTGTTGAATATATGATATTGCAAGATAAATGATGCATTAGTATAGTTTTGTAACTATTGTGGTTGCAGTAAAATTGCGACAACATAGATACAATTACAATATGAAAATTGAAACTTGTTTAGTTGGCAATTTTGAGAAATCACGAAGGTTGTCAACAATTTTTTTAATACACATTTAGTTACTTGTTTAGATCCTGTTTAGTACCAATGTTGAGACAAAAGTAAAAAATAACGGGAGAAATAAATTAGTTATAAGAAAATTAAAGTAAAGATATTAATATAATATTAGCAATAAGGTTTAAGAAATTAGTTATGGGGATATGGAGAGAGAAAATATGTAGAAAGTGAGTCTAGTGAGATTTGATCAGACTCTCTTGAATGAAATTAATCCACAACTAGGGTCCCACAATAAACAACTAATAGACCCATTGAAATTTGAATGAAATTTCAACTAATTTTTGTTGTGTTGCCAACTCCTGTTACCACAACAACAAATAAAAATATAACCTAACATTTTTTTAACAAAAATTGTAAAACCCGGTCTGAGAGGGTATTGAAAAAGTTAGCGATAGAATATTTGATACTAAACTCGTAGTTTAATCGTTTCAAACAACTAAAAACCATTTACCGATTTAATTTTCAAGAAGGTTTTCTCGATCGAACCACCACCAGTATGGAAGTATGGTTTATAAACAATTAAACACTAATTTTTAGTATATTTTTCACATGTGAAAACATAAACAAACATAAACAAGAAATGGGATAGTGTGCCATTGACAACATATTTTATAGCAAAAGTCAACAAGATAAACATTACTGGTTACTTTGATAGGACAATTGTCCATCAACAATTCATCACACTGTTATTCTCAGAAACAAAAAAGTTCCATCGCTTCCTCTATTCTCTGCATATTCATAGAAAGGGTTGAATCGAAACTCGGAGCCAGCTTCCCACAGTCGGACCAAAAAGCCAGAAATGCTTGGACTTTCTTGCCAATTTTACACAACAAATGCCAAGCAGATGGACCTAGCTGCTTGAAATTTAGAGACAGGACAGCGTGCAAGCTCTATTTACTAAACAAATGTTAGTTGAGTACTACAATGACGATGAACAAAACCAAATAATTCAAACTCCTTTATACTTTGTGCTAACTGGAGCAGCGCCACCTGAGACTTTCTGATGCCTCTACATGAACTGAAGACTTTGAGGCAATAGTAATCCATGACTGTCATAGTTGCGTTTTTTCAACTCACAATCTCGATCAGTGTCATGGCGGCGAAGACAAGGAAAAGAATCCCACCAGTGTATGCAATGACCTGTCAAAAAGCACCAAAAGGTTCTTCCTTTTTCTCAGTCCATTAAAATATAATGACGGAAGTTGAATAAGAAGCTCATTCTGTAGATGCACGTGTAATTGTTGCTAGATTATTAGAAGCGTAAAGATCGACAACATGATATATTCCAGCCCAGCAGCTTATGTTGCTATAGGGTGCGAATTCAGGCTGTCGTCCAATGAAGTCGTTTCCAGCTCTGGGGAATCTTACAAGAAGGTACAAATATACCAGGTGATCAGAAATTTCAAACATTATTGGTGGTGGTGGTAGTAGGAAAATAGAGTACACTAAACGCAAGACATTTTGTGGTTGGGTTCTGTGTACTTGGTTCATGGTTCTTCCACTCACAATAACTATGGCAATTGGTCTTGATCTTGGTTTTCTTTTTCTTTTGGTTGAATAGAAAATCAGTATTCAAACGGCAAAGGACTGATGAGGGTTAGATGACAACTTCAATGGTTGAGAGTTAAGATGCTTGATGGCACCTTTGAGTTTTCCAATCAGGAACATTTTTTTGGGGACCAGGAAGGGGATCACATGTCAGTCGTTAAAAAGTCATAACATATTCTGGATTTTCACTTTTATTTGATATGAAATTCCAACCTATGAAACTGACATTTTATTTCAAGATATGCATATCAAAACGAGTTGGAGGGATTTAGAAAATTTATGTACCTTCTCTGATAGGAATGTTCCCAGTAAAGAACCTCCCAGGACAGCAATCTGAAAAAAGAACGAATTCATGAATCAACACAACCATGGCGTCCTAGACGTTCTGTAATGACTAATGGTATGAACTTGTGGTATCATATTCATATAGCAGTTCATGCGTATGTGTAATAGCCAGTGTGGAGGTTTTGGTATATGCAATGCAGATTTGCTTCAAGTGTTAATTACCAAGGTTGCAACACCATGACCAGCCAATGCTCCAGCAATGACACCAAGAGGTGAGGATGCAGCTGCAAGTGCTGGAAGAACAGAGAAATCGAACAAAAGCAACTTTCAATGCCAAGGGAGAAGCATAAATCCTAAAATAATTACACAATTTTCAGCATTGGAACCAACCGATTGTGGAGAAAAATGATTTGTCACCCCATTCAGCAACAAAAACCAAAGCAAATGTGCTAATAATGGTATTGGCAGCGGATAAAATGCCTGCACCACTTCCCGAGAAGTCTGAAACTGCTAGCTCCGCCTAGTTCAATGCAATAAGCAGAACAAGCAATCACATTTTACTTTCATACAGAGTTGCATAGCTAGCTAATGGAATCATGAAATATACGCCCACCTCCTTTTGCTCATCTTCAGATTTGAGGCCATCACTTGAAGAGGCATCTACTAGTGTTGATACCCCGAAGTAGACCTGCAACATACTCAAGTTAGCTTGAATGTTGTTTACTTCACAGACCATGAACTTTCCCACTTCAATCATAGCACACATTCTCAAAGAATGCACCTTTTAACACCCCCAAAACCATGACTCTTGACACTCACCAAAAGGCAAACTGCAGCAATGTCATCAATAGGCAAATCAGTGCCACCAAAACTGCAGATCCAGATTTTCTGTTATTATTACATGTAAAAATGCAGAGGTGGGGGCAACGGTTTCAAGTCAGACTTCAAATTTCTTCTCACTAGAGTCTCAGAGTAAGTACCTGAATGGAAGGATCTCATCCACATAATGGAAAGTTCTTCCAAGTACAACGGATATGACAGTCATTATACTGTTGACAACACATAGGAAGCAGCGGTAAGATAGATGCACATACGAGTCACCATCTTAATATGTTACATTAATATCCAGTCAGATGCTTGCATATTAATACAAACAGAGCTTCCATAATTGCTCCACAATAGCTTAGTTGTGTATGCAACAGATACGTACAACTATGAGCATTTTGAGAGTACATAAAACATCTGAGAGGAAGAACATACCCAAGGGCGCCAAAGGTCCCTGCAAATACAACAACAGCAGAATTCCTAGCCGCTAAAAGTGCCTGCAAGCAAGACCGAACAACTTAGCATCACCTTAAATTCAGAAATTAAGGACACCACTGGGACAATGAGTGACTCTGGTGAACCTAGAAATGAAGAAGGTAAATGCAAGCTGGCTTGCACAGACTTGTTTTGCAATAAGTTGAATAAAGCAACAGTTTCAGGATGCATTCACAGACAAAGAAAGAGTTCTCCTGCTGGGTAGGTCTTTACCGCAATGAAAAAGGTTTTGTCACCCAACTCCGAGAAAAATATCAGCAAGAATGCCTGCAATGCAACAATTCAGAATTAGAAGCTCTTTCATATTTTCATTCCCAAATTGAAGCCCGTCAAAATGCCACACTGATCTCCAATTACAAATTGATGCTAAACATAACAAATGGAACCCCTCATCAACAACAAACCCTTAAACGCTATGCGTCAATGTGACATTGTAGAGGGGATTTCATAACCATGCAGCATTTGAGTATTAAAAGGTGTCACATAAAAGAAGAAAATTTTGGTAGTGACGTTGGAGTCAGGAACTCATAAACAGAAATGTCACTTATGGTTAAGATAAGATTTTTCGAGCAATGGACGATCAATCATAGAAGGAACAAGGAGATTTTCCTAACTGAAGCAAAACCTGTGCTAATGTCACCAAGGTCTCCAAGATAGGGAATGGATTGCAACCCACTGCTTGAGAGCTCCATTGCAGCTGCAGCCGCTTGATCAGAGCCCTGGAACATTAGACACCCAGAGAGGAACACTAACAGTTTCATTGAGCCCTCGTGTAATGTAACAGAATCCAAGGAGCCAAATTCTTGCAATGAAGTTCTCTTCTCAATGCCGTCCAGAATTCGAACCAGTTCTCCTTGCGCCTGGCGCTTGTTGACGCCATTGCCAGCTCCCTGTGACCAATTGCAACATATCCCCATAAACGAATGGCTACGACCTAATTGATGAACAATTCACGGTGAAAAGAACGCGACAGAGAGAGAGAGAAGGATTACAGGATCCTGATAATTGTTGTCATGAACTATGGGAAGTAGCCCTGTCAGTGCTTTCTGAAACGGCTCATTGAGCCATTTTGTCGAACACCTGATAAGTAGTATCACAATTACGAAATTGGTAGCCGTTTTCCAATCACATTTTGACAAAAACTACCACAACAATGAGCAGCAGGGAATTCAATTAAGTTACCTGGAGAGAAGGCGGGAGGATGTTGAGGAAGGACTGGTTTTCCTGGGAAGAAGAGGCCTGAGAGGGAGCAACTGGCCATTGAGAACACATGGCGATGGCGTCAATGAACACTGTGCGATGAAACGCCCTTCTGAGACCGCCACGCTTCCCATTCTCTCACGCTCGCCAACTCCTTCCTCTCCAGGGTTTTAGCTGGACTGTCTCAAAGCTGCTGGCTTTTCAGTTTTTCCGTTCCTTTTACCCTGCAGCAGGTGGTGGGTTGGTCTCTGTATCTGTGTGGTGGGAAAAATGAATTGATATGCTTCGCGAGATTGCCTTGTTGGCGTCCGACTGGTGGTGGATAAGGTTTTCTGTTTGATCCCGCCAATACCATTTGAGCAGTATTTTCTAATATTACAGTTCAGTCCTACCCAGCTTTTCTTTTTTCTATTTCACTCCTAAATTTTGTGCGTGATGAACTGTCTGGATTACGAGATGGAGAACGACGAACGATTTAATTGAATCAACCATGGAAGCAACAAGATTAAAGCTATCTCAGATAAAGTTGAGCAACTAGGTAGATGGACGAGGTTGTTAATGTTGATCAATCTATGACGCTGTGAATCTGCCAGGTCTTCTTCGTAATATACACATACTAAAGTATTAGCAATATACAAGGTTGTCAACAGGTCTTCTTCGTAATATACACATACTAAAGTATTAGCAATATACAAGGTTGATACTTTAGTATGTGTATATTACGAAGAAGACCTGGCAGATTCAGGTTGACTCGGACCCGGTGAAGCTAGTGGGTCAAGGGTTAATGGATCACCCGATTTAGCCCGGTTTAGTCCGGAAATATGGAAAGAGTCATTATATTATACGTATCCTGATAAAGTATATAAAATCTCATCTAACATATGAGTTATAACATATAATATTACACTAAAATAACATGTCGTACTTAGATCCAACATATAGTAAAAATTTACACACAATTATATAACAACATTATTCAAATGTTCAACTTAGGATTCCAAAGATTGAGTTAGGCGAAAACAAAATCGAAAAATAGGCAAATTTCGCAAACCAAAGAAAAAAATGACACAATTTGACTAGGGATGGCAATGGGTCGGGTCGGGGGCAGATAGTGCATATCCGTTACCCTAGCCAAAGTACTTCGGGTTTTACCCATACCCATACCCACATGTGAAACGGGTAGAAAATCAAAACCATGTTCATACTCGTTCGGGTTTCGGGTATCTACGATTATCCATGGATATTAATTTCTCTCCATAACTCCAACCAATATGTTAACATTCACACGTATTCTTATATTAAGTAAGAGAAAAAAGTACGACAAGAATTCACTAGAATGAAGAAAATTAACTAAAACAACACAATTTCATGAAAATGTTATATTTATATGCTAAATATAAAATATGTTAGAGAAAAATAATGATTATTTCTAGACAAAATACATATGCATGTGTATAATCGGGCGGGTTCGGGTCGGATAGTGAGAAATCCATGCCCACCCATTACCCGCAATATTCGGGTTCGGATTTTACCCATACCCACTAAATGTCCTTCGGGTTCGGGTTTTACCCTACCCGACTAGGCCGGATTCAGGCGGATATCCACGGTTACGAATATTTTTGCCATCCCTAAATTTGACCTCTAATCCGATATCTTGTAGCGGTCGACCCGACGAGTGCGTGCAACATGTTTTTCTCACCGGGTCCTGGTCAAAGTGGGTCGACCCGGGTTGACAATGTAAACAACTAAACATAAAGATTTGTTGCACTATGCACTGAAGCAATATTTTACTATTTTAGTGCTGAGTTCGTACATAATCAAAAGTTAGTGTAAAATTTGATAGCGAACCTAAAAATTTGGTGATCATTTCTACTAAATAAAGATTTGATGACTGTTTCTGTAAGTTTTCCTGTCTTCAACCAAAGTCGGGCGCTGGGGAGCGAAAATTGCCGGCGACTATTACCCATCGACAGCCGCCCGCATCCCCGACGCCGCCATTAGCGATTACATCAGTCTCTCTTGAAACTTCTAGATTACATCAACCAAATGGAAATCTGCCGCCCGCTCGAGAAATCGCAGCCGGAGCTTCAATCGCCGTTGAATTCCTTTCCTTCCCCACGTCGACTCAAACATCTGTTCCGCTCCACTCGTCCACGTCCAGGGGCCTGGCATTGCTCACCACCATGGAATTACTCCTGCTACGACTACGAGCACTTGAGCGAACACTTGGGATTGTGCGAAACCGCATTGTCGGAATGGAGGGCGATCGAGTCACATTCCTGACGGGGCCCTCCTACAGCGATTGCCCTCGCACTTCCATGGTAGGGAAATCTAGGGGTTTTCCCAATCTTTGATTATTGTTTGATTCGTGGGTAATCATTCGCTGAATCAGTGAATTCCAGGTTCCAAAAGGCTACGTCTGGATTCAGGGACACAATGCATATGCTTCTGCTGATTCCAGATTTTTTGGTGCTTTCCCTATGGTTTGCTTGATTCAGTGGGGAACATTTCCAATGGTGACCATTCTCTTCCCCTCTTATACAATCTTCTCACTTGATTTCTACTTATGGAACAAAACTTACTGCTTGGAACTGAGTGTGTGATTGAACTTAGAGGAATCCAATTCATATGGCTAATTAGGTGCAAATGGGTTTAGCCGTGAGATGATGTATCAAATGGTTTTATGGTTTCTACCAAAAAAAAAGTTTTATGGTAGGCTTTATTCTGGAATTCTTTATTTCTATCTTACAATGCTTAATTGTACATCTCCCAAGGTCAGTGTGCAATCCCAAAGGTAATCGTCCATTTTCCACCGTCACCGTGGAAGTCTCCGTAAGAATCTTCTACTTCTGATTAAGACTGCTTTTTTCTTTTGTTTCGACAACGTAGGACCGTGGACTTTATTAGCAGTGATAAACGTGGTCTGATATTTAAATGCAGATGCAGGATTGCAATGTGTAACCACTCGAACCTACATAGTAATGAGGAACAAGCAAAGAGAAAAATAAATTAAAAAGACATGCAACCTGAACCAGGTAGGAAGAGCACGCAGCAGGTCAGTGGGAAAAGAGAACATTATGGCCAATTATAATTTTGATGAAGAAAAATAGTTGGTCTGGTAGGAAGAATGAATAATATTGTATTGAGTCTTTTTTTGGGTGTTATTCTGCATGCTTTCCTTGCTCTTGATATTGCCATAGTCATGGAACAGTTAAATTCCAAAATATCTTCTTTTGATATCTGCCCAACAAGAACTGCATTTATGTTATCCCTTCATCAATAAAACTTCTGTTGAACAACATGATCTCAGGTTGGCCTTTTGGAACATCCAGCAGTTCTTACTAGTTCAAAATAAAAATAAAAAATTCATTTGGTTAGATAGATTTGTGATGAAGGAGGAAGGGCTCTGGACTATGTTCTGCAGAGCTTCATTATATTCAAATGGCTATGAAAAGGAATACGGGTCTTGGCGTGTTCACATATTCGATCCAGATTCGTGTCTCAACCACGTCTTCATACTTTGCATAGACCTCCTGCTACTGCTGATCACCTTTTGCATCTTCATCTACAAGAAATCAGCAGCAAGCTGCAAGTTCACAGTGGAACCACTACCACAAAGCTTCTCCAAACTGATGATTTCGTCGGCCATTTTCAACAGCTTTCTGAGCATGCTTTATTTTGGGGTCGGCATATGGGGAGTCTCCAACGATGTTCTACCGTTACAAGGATGGATTGTGGTGCTTCTCCAAGGATCGGCTCTGTTGGTGCTGAATCTGTATGTAAGCCTGAATCATAATAGAAAGCAAACCCATTGGGAAATTGCAGTGGTGAAGCTGTGTTCAGCTTTGGATTTCTGTCTCTCTGCCTTCCTATGTTTTACCTATCTTTGGCAAGCCATAATCGCGGAGAAGAAACTAGTGTCAGTTAAAATGGTTATCGACATCTTGTCTCTTCCAGGGGCAATTCTACTGCTGTTATGTGCCTTTCGAGGAAGAAAGATCAATGCAGGAAATTATCCAAACGCCAACTCTGAACCCTACTACTATGCACCTTTGCTTGGTGAAGAAGCTATGGCCTCAGATGATGACGGTGATGACAAGGTAAACCCTTTTGCCAAAGCTGGATTCTTCAGCAAGCTATCATTCTGGTGGTTGAATCCATTGATGAAGAAGGGGAAAGAGAAAGTTCTTGAAGATGAGGACATCCCACATATGAGGGAGGAAGATCAGGCCAGAACATGCTACTTAATGTACTTGGAGAGATTAAATAAGTGGAAATCTGCCAAAAAAGGATCACCTGACGAGCCAGCACCTGCATTATGGTCAACACTACTCTCTTGCTACAAGAAGGAGATTCTGCTATCTGGGTTTTTCGCATTGCTCAAGCTACTCACTCTATGCGCCGGCCCTTTTCTCCTCAAAGCTTTCATTGATGTTGCTGAGCATAAAGTAGCTTTTGAATATGAGGGCTATGTACTCACATTAACACTTCTCTCAGCAAAATGCATTGAATCATTCTCAGAGAGGCAATATCATTTCCAAACGAGGTTAGTTGGTGTCCGAGTGAGGTCTCTATTATCTGCAGCCATCTACCAGAAGCAACTAGTCCTTTCAAATGCTGCTAAGCTCACTCATTCCCCTGGGGAAATTATGAGCTACGTCACCATAGATGCATATAAAATAGGAGAGTTTGCTTACTGGTTTCATCAGATATGGACCACCGGCCTCCAGCTATGCCTTGCATTGCTCATTATCTACTTTTCCATTGGGATGGCAACTATAGCAGCTCTGATCACCATTATAGTAACAGTGATTGGGAGTTCTCCTTTGACTACATCACAGCTTACTAATCAAACAATACTCACACAGCAGCAAGACTGGAGGCTGAAAGCAATAACTGAGGCACTTGTTAACATGAAGGTGTTGAAGTTGTATGCTTGGGAGAATCATTTTATTGAAATGATAGAGAAAGTTAGAAAAGAAGAGCTTGTGTCAATTTCTAAGCTTCTGTTCCGAAGAGGGTGTCTCATGATGCTGTTCGGGTCATCTCCGGTCATAGTGTCAGTGATCACATTCTGGGCATGCTACTTGCTCAGTATTCCCCTCAATGCTAGCAATGTTTTCACATTTTTGGCAACATTAAGAATCGTTCAGGAACCAGTAAGAATGTTGCCTGAGGTAGCTACTATATTCATAGAAGCTAAAGTTTCGTTGGAGCGAATAGGAAAGTTTCTCCAGGCGCCTGAGTTGCAGCACAATAGAATTAGGCAGAAGAGCAACAGCGGCTTTCAGGAAGCTGTTGAGGTTCCTATCTTCATCCAATCTACTGAAATTTCATGGAGCAGAGAGGCTACTTCATCTAAGGCTACATTGAGGAACATAAACTTGACAGTGAAACCGAGAGAAAAGGTGGCTATTTGTGGAGAGGTTGGCTCAGGGAAATCGACACTATTGGCTGCAGTTCTTGGAGAAGTTCCGTTAATTAATGGCACAGTCAGTGTTTATGGAAGAATAGCATATGTTTCTCAAACGGCATGGATTCAAACGGCAACAATAAGAGATAACATATTGTTTGGGTCTTCTATGGACCCATTTAGATATTGGGAGGTGGTTGAGAGGTGTTCCCTGGTAAAAGACCTGGAATTGCTACCAAATGGGGACTCTACTGAAATTGGGGAAAGAGGAGTCAACCTTAGTGGAGGCCAGAAGCAAAGGATCCAACTTGCTAGAGCTTTATATCAGAATGCAGATGTTTACTTGTTGGATGATCCCTTCAGTGCTGTTGATGCACATACTGCAACCAGTCTATTCAATGTAATCAATCCACTTATCCCTTAGCATATTCTCGGTCTCTCTCTTAGAAACTAACACGATTCAGGTGGCAGGAATATGTGATGGGAGCTTTATCGGAGAAGACGGTTTTACTTGTGACCCATCAAGTTGACTTCCTTCCAACATTCAACTTGATTCTGGTAATGAGCTTCCTTCTGAAACTTGGTTTTCTTTTCTTTACTCTCAACTGTCTCTCATTTGGTTCATTTTTGCAGCTGATGTCTTCCGGTGAAATCTTGAAAACCGGCACTTTTGACCAGATGCTGGAATCCTGTCAGGAGTTTAATGAACTGGTCAATGCTCACAAGAATACAACTGTAGGGGGAAAAGTACACATTGGTCCCATTGGAGAGTCTACAACTGATGCTTCCACCACAGAGATAAAGGAGATTTATAGGAGAGATCACAATTTAGCAGCAGCGGCAGCCTCAGGAGATCATCAGTTGATAAAGAAAGAAGAAAAGGAAACAGGAGACACAGGGTTCAAGCCTTACATGGATTATTTGAGCAAGAATAAGGGGTTCTTCTTCTGTTTCTTGACTGTCCTGTTCTATTTCTTGTTCGTGGTTGGCCAATTGGCCCAGAACTACCTATTAGCTACAGGCATTCAGAACCCGGGAGTGAGTAGAGTAACACTGTTCACTCTATACGGTGTAATTGGATGTGCATTGCCATTTTTCATGTTCTTAAGGATCTTTTCCTTAGTTAGACTTGGTTGTGGCGCATCGGAAGCGATCTTTTCCAAGCTCATAATATCCCTATTCCGAGCACCAATGTCCTTCTATGACTCCACTCCTCTAGGAAGAATTCTTAGCCGGGTAAGCATTCATAGGCCCCGAATTTAAAAAGTTGTTCAAAGTTCATCCATGACAGTGAACATTTCTTTCCTGGTCAACAGGTTTCTTCTGATTTGAGCATCATAGACCTTGAGGTAGCATCTAAGTTAGCAGTATCACTGGGATCGACTCTGAATGCATACACTAGCTTAGCTCTATTAGCCATTCTGGCCTGGCCTGTCTTGTTGATTATCACACCCATTCTTTATCTCATCATGATCTTACAGGTACTTGCTATGAACTTCGTTACTCAATTTATTGATATCTTATATATTGACCCTTCTTGTTCCGCAAGCCATCTTTCTTTATACAGAACACTTATCTTGGTTTGCATTTGTTATCCACAAAGAGATACTACTTCAATACGGCGAAAGAGTTGATGAGGATCAATGGGACGACAAAGTCAAGTTTGTTGAACCATTTTGCTGAATCCATTTCTGGAGCCATGACTATCAGAGCCTTCGAGGAGGAAGAAAGATTCTTCTCCAAGAACCTGGTACTCATTGACAACAATGCAACCACTTACTTCCACAACTTCTCAGCGAGCCAGTGGTTGATCCAACGTCTGGAGATCCCTTGTGCAATTGTGCTCTCGACTTCAGCACTTGTGATGACTTGTCTTCCTCTGGGTGCTTCTACTTCAGGTAAATACAAAAAAACCATCAGAATAAGTATTTTTCCATCCCAAAAATCCTAAAGGTGAAATGATCTGAAATATTTGTTCACATTTTGCAGGGTTTGTCGGAATGGCCCTTTCATATGGTCTATCACTAAATGTGTTCCTCATAATATCAGTTCAGTACCAGTGCTTCATAGCAGAATCAATCATCTCAGTAGAAAGGCTAGAACAATATATGCATATCCCTAGTGAAGCTCCACAAGTGATTGAGAGTGTAAGGCCTCCAGCCAACTGGCCAAGTCATGGCCAAGTGGAGATCTGTAAATTAAAGGTGAGGTATCAGAAGAACAGTCCACTTGTTTTACACGGGATAAGCTGCAGGATTGAAGGAGGAGATAAGATTGGTGTTGTGGGAAGGACTGGGAGTGGCAAGACAACTCTAATCAGTACCTTGTTTAGGCTGGTGGAGCCCACAGAAGGAAGGATCATAATAGATGGGATTGATATCTCCACAATAGGACTCCATGACCTGAGATCACACTTAGGAATCATCCCACAAGATCCAACTCTCTTCTGTGGCACTGTGAGGTACAATCTGGACCCTTTCTCTCAGCATATTGACCTAGAAATATGGGAGGTTCTGGAGAAATGCCAGCTGCGGGAAGCCATTCAACAGAAGGAAGGAGGCTTGGACACATCAGGTAATGGATAGCTATATTGTTAAGCATTTCCAAATGAATTCATTCGTCTTAACTCCTAACAAAGAAAACCCGTCTACTCAATTTGATCCTTTTGTGGTAGACTCGTCAGTATTGCACACATCAAATAGTGAAATCAAGTATATGAAATGTAGGATAACTTGTACCAAAAGTTACTAAAATTAGTGACTGTTTCCAGAGTTGGTACTTCAGAAGGAACAAAAATTGTTTTGTGCTGCCAACATTGAAATTGGTGTTGCATTCAGTTTCAGAAGATGGATCAAACTGGAGCATGGGGCAGAGGCAACTATTCTGTCTAGGGAGAGCACTGCTGAAGCGAAGCAAGATTTTGGTGCTGGACGAAGCAACAGCTTCCATTGACAATACAACGGATGCGATCCTTCAGAGGATCATTAGAACAGAATTTGCAGAGTGCACTGTCATCACTGTGGCCCATAGGATCCCTACTGTCATGGATAGTAGCAGGATTCTTGCCATCGCAGACGGTACGTTACCAATAGTACGTAAACTCAGCGTTGTTCTAACTCCGTCCTCCTAAAGTCCTGAATGGTTGTTGTGGGTTTGTTACAGGGAAGTTGGCAGAGTATGATGAACCGGGTAATCTGATGAAAGAGGAAGGGTCTCTCTTTCGCCAGCTCGTGCACGAGTACTGGTCTCGATCTACAAACAACTAATGCAAAAAAAAAAAAAAAAAAAAAAAAATGAGGAGGGAGTGCTTAACTTAACCATGAGTTTCTGGTAGGTCTACAAATCAAGTACTGTATAATAGAAAGTCAGAACTCTAAACCAGTTTTTACTATATAACTCAATTCATGCTAGCTATTCATATAAGCAAATGTTACATTGGCCTCTTTCTTTTTCGCTCTATATTTACTCTAGATTTTTATATGAATATGCACATAAGACTGTTGTGCTTGTGGCAAAATGAATCAATGATACTACTTGGGGGAATTACTCAATCTAAATGAAATGTGTAATTGTGAATAAGAAACCTGTCACTAAGGGGTCGTTTGCTTGTTGGATTTGGGTTATGGATTTGGTATCCAAATCCCAAGCTTGATGGATTTAACATAAGTCCATTGTTTGTTGAAGGATGCAAAATCCGTGGGGTCCACGGATTTGGTCTTTATTTTGGAACCAAATCCGTGGACCCCACGGACTTGTAAATCCCACATATTGATTTGGGATTTGCAAATCCTTGATGGTTAGTTATTTATTTAACAAATCCATCATCAAATCTATCATGCAAACATTAGACTCTTCAAATCCATAATCCAATAAATCCAACGTAAATCCCAAGGTATTTGTTGGCCAAAACCCTCATTTTTCAAATCCAACAAGCAAACGACCCCTAAATACTTGTCAGTTGTCAACTGCTACAGTAATCCTTAGCTTTTGACTTCCCATTTCAACATTTGTTTCTTCACTTTGGCTTGCGAATCTAATTGTAATTTGACATTTTCTTGATAAAATGCTCTACAAGAGAAAGAAGGACCGAAATGTTAACAAAGGTTCCCAAATGGGACTGAATTGTACTGAACTCAAATCTCCAAGAGTGACGTCATCGAACGGTAGGGAGGGACGGGTTGCATATACCAGGGATCTACTCCGTGCTCCATAGGATTCCTTCAACTCCCCACCAAAAATTCTCGAATTTCAAGAAATCTACTTTCTTTCTTAACAGCTTTATAGCCGTTTCCTTCAGAGAGAGAGGGAGGGAAAAAGTCAAAAAACAGAAAACCCAAACAAGGGTAAAGCTTTATAGCCGTTGCACTCCAAATCCACTGCCAATCCCCAGTCCTTTCTCTCTCTAAGGAAATTGGGAAAAGTCGGCTTGCGTCCAAATCTCTTCATCTGAAAGCTCCGCAAGAAGCTCCGTCAAAATGAAGGGAATGAAAGGGAAACTCGCGAAGAAGCTCAAATCCATCAAACCAGTTGTGTACCTCAAGCAGCCTGGCCGCATTCTTCAGCCGATTTCAGGGGACGAGTTCCGATCAGTTTCGGAGAATCAGTGGGTCGAACCTCCGAATCAGACTCTGCCCACAATAAAGGAGGGCGGGACCGGACTTGGAGAGGCAGATATTGATAAAGATGGGATGGAGCTTGATGATTCGGGTGATGATGATTTCGTTGAAGATAAGGAGAACTTCGGGCGGCCGCCCGTGAAGGCTCTGTTTCCGGGTGGCGAATTGGAAGAGACTTCTGGTGGCAGTGGCAACCACCACGACGGGGAGATTTTTGGCGAAAATGAAGAAACTTCGGGCTCATTCAAGCTTATGCCGTTGTCGGAGATTGACATCTCGTCTTTCCGTCCACCGGACTTGAATTCCAGTACGCTCTTCGATCCAAACCTTCTGGCTGCGTTCAAGATGGCAGTGAAGGAGTTTATGCAGCGGATTGAGGAAGAAAGAAGAGTGAGAATTGCGAGCAGAGAAGACTGCGTAAAAGAGCAAGCAAGTAGTCTGAAACAGAGCATCAAAGAAACAGAGCAGGGAGAAAGTGAATCAGAGCCTCCTCTAAAATTCTGCCGAATTGAGGAAGAAATTGAAGAAGAAGGGGGCAACCCGTTACTGAACTTTGAAGAGAGATGCCCGCCGGGGGGAATAGACAGAGTGATTTTCTACTCGACGACATTGAGAGGGATAAGGAAGACATTCGAGGACTGCAATGGCGTCCGGTTTCTCTTACAGAGCCTTCGAGTTCGCTACCACGAGAGGGATGTGTCGATGCACAAGGAGTACAGGGAAGAGCTCTGGGAGGTCCTGGAAGGTAAAGTGATGCCGCCCCGACTTTTCGTCAAGGGAAGGTACATTGGTGGAGCTGAAGAAGTTTTGGGTTTGAACGAACAAGGGAAGTTCAGGGTGCTCTTTGAAGGGCTTCCACCAGTTGATAGCTCAACTGAGCCTTGTGAAGCTTGCAATGGAGTTTGTTTCGTGCTCTGTTTCAATTGCAGTGGTAGTCATCGAATCTCTACCCCTGATGGGTTGTGGAGTGAATGCCTCTATTGCAATGAGAATGGCCTCATAATCTGTAGTCATTGTTGCTGTTGATTATGATATGTGGCATTTGTTGTGTTTCATTTCTTCAGGCATTTGGGATGTATGATTGATTATCCTCTTTGTTCTCTTCTTCTTCTCCTTCATCTTCTTTCCATTATGAAAAAAAGATGGAATCTTTGGGGAAAGAAGTACAACGTTTGTAGATTGGAATTGGTTCTTTTTTTGTTCTACCAACATATTTATTCTGTAAAAACTCAATTTTACAATGAAAGACACATTCTTCAGCTAGCTTTCCAGCGGTTTCTTGTTGCCCTTTTCTGGACAGTTCGCCAATGAATCCCATTCACAAGCATTCATGATATGAAGAGAAGTTTTAGTTTCCTTGACACTAAACTGTGCTTATTATATCATAATTATATACGAAAAGGCCACCAAATCGGTGAGCAGGAATCCAGTACAGGAGATGAAATGTAAAGGCAACCTGCATCACATGGCTGCATAAAAAGAAAACATCCCAAAACTATTACCAAAAAGCCAGCAGGATGCTGAGAACATAGAGCAGCGAATCGCAGCTACAATGACACTGAGTCAGTGACTCATCCTTTGTGTTCTCCAGTATACAAAATTCTATCAGTACTCCTGAAACTAGACTAATCAAAACTCCGAAAAGAATCAGACTAATCAAAACCACAGCTTGTGCTGAAATGCTGCTGCTGCCACTGGAAAACTCTCTAGATAGGCCTCCACAGTCTCCTACACCTTTCTCGCCATAAATCAACTCTCTAGATAGCACTCTCCAGGCACACAACCCAGCTAGGCCCTGACATATACTGTGACGAGGGAAGAATCAATCATCCAATATATTATTGCCTGCAAGATTAGGTTAATATGGGCGTCAGATGAAGAGTTCAGTCCATTCGGTAAATAAAACAGAAGAAGAATCAAACTGCAAGTGGCTATCGAGCAACTAGCCAAGTTGCATATAATTGCATTTGCACCATAGGACTTTAATGAATTCAACACAGTTATAATATGAAGCAGCAGAGCCTCAATCAGAACACTCCAAACCGATCATGATTCATTCAAATCTCCCTGTTTAGGTTATCCTTTCTGCCAAGTCAAGCAAGGTAATGTGGGTGATGCTCCTCATGCTCTTCATAAGCTGGCTGCATTCTCGAATAAAACCTCAGTTTCTTTTGCGACAGATAACCGAGAAATAAGCATGGATCTATTCCAATGATTTCCACCAGAGAAAGTACAATTCATTTCTTACCACCTCAAAGTATGGGGTCTCGCAGTTAGCTTTTACCAGTCGAGGATGCCCTTTCATCATCAACTATCAACCTTTTCTTCTCCTTATTTTCTATTTCACACATGACAAAATCAGAATAAATCCCAGTCAGTGAATACTCATGCATAATCCAATGCCCCACAAGAACTCCCTTCTTTGCCTTTCTTCACCTTGAAAACGAACTGTTTTCTTGTACCAATTTTATTATTCTTCCCATAAAAAATTGGGGCACTTCGTGAAACCCTTTTCTTACTTAGCCACTTCAGCTGGGTGAAGACGAAAAACCTGTCTCTTCCTGTTCCGGCATCCCGGGGAAACATCTCCCACGGAGCCTTGTCGCCGTAGAGATCGCAATCGGGAATCACATTGTACGGGAAACCCTCCCCTCTAACTTTCTTCGGCAGGTAAAATTCCACGAGCTCTTCGTCGCTAGGGCTAAAGTGATAGCCCACCGGGAGAGAGTGGTAACTGACGAAGCTAGGGTTTCCGGAAACCCTAATTTCTCGAACAACAAGTAAAAAAGAACGAGATCGACAAATTTCAAATCGGAGAACGCGTCGGAACTAGGGCTTGGCGGGAGTGAAGAGAGAATCGAGAAAGCACTTACGGTACAACCGTCTGGAGGTGTTGATTCCGGAACTCCCAGCGAGGAATGCCACTACCCTTTGACCGTAGAAGTCGATCGGAGACGGAGAGAACGATCGGAAAACCAAGAGAGCCGTGTTGACACCTAAAATTAATTTGGCCCAAATTAAATGCCGCATTAATTAGTCTCGTGTAACACGCGGACTGAAATGTAAAGAAACAGAAGTAGTTTGGAGGTAGATAGAAAAGTAACAGAAAAGTAGGGACCAAAAGGGAAAAATGGCAAGTGTATATAAGACAGGCTGTAACAACCCACAACGGCTATCTGAATACAACAACTACTTTTCCCTCCCTCACTTCTCTCTCTCTCTCTCTTCTCTGCTACTTTCCCTTTCCTCTCTTCTTCTTCCACTGCCGAGAGCTTCACCGGTCCAGAGTGTGACAAGTTGGTATCAGAGCCATCTCTCGGCCATGGCGACGACGGTGAGACAACTCGATGATCGTTTGAGTGCGTTTTCCAATCGGACGATGGAAGCCGAAAACACTTTTCACAATCAGATCACAACATTGGAGGATCAGAATCGAGCTCAATCGACTCAATTGCAGGAGATCATGGCGAGATCGGAAGGTCATTCGCAACAATTTGCGGTGATTAACACTCGCTTGGATGGAATGGAGGATCGTTCAGTCGCGCGATTTGCTCAAATGGATCAGAATATCCAGGAGATCATCCGGCGCCTGGAGGTTCTTCAAGTTCGGCCGGAGGTTGCCGCCGATCAGCAATTGGCTCGTCATGAGGGCCGGGGCCTCTTACCGCTGCCGGTTCATCGGCCAGGGGCTGTTCCACCACAGCAACAGCGAGGTTTTGCTCAGAACAATCCGGATGCAGAGCAAGGTCCAGTTCTAGGTCAACACCGAGGTAATGATCAGATCCAGTTGCCTCGCATTGATTTCCCTCAGTTTAGGGGTGATAATCCTAGGGATTGGATCCGGAAATGTGAGAAGTTGTTCGACGTTTATGCGATTCCTGATGAGCAGAAAGTACGGATGGCTTCCATTTACTTTGATCGTCGTCCTGATATCTGGTTTGAGGGATGGAAACTTGAGCACAGGGATTGGATTTGGGACGAATTTGTGCGTGATTTGTGTAGCAGGTTTGGTGATAGAGAATTTGGAAGCATTGTAGAGGAATTTAATAAGTTACGTCAAAGAGGATCGTTGGCTGACTATCAGGAGAAGTTCGAAGAGTTAAAATCGCAGATGGTTCGTTACAATCCAGCCTTGGGCGAGCAGTATTTCATCTCCAGTTTCGTCAGTGGACTGGAGGAAGAGCTCAGGCCGGTGATTAAGATGTGGCAACCTGCAACCTTAGCTCATGCCTTTCAATTGGCACAACTGGCAGAGACAGCAAATGAGGCTAATCGAAGGAAATGGCGACTTGGTTTGGGAGGTGGTATGCGTACTATGCCACCAGTGGGACAAGGTACCAGCTCTGGTGCGAGGAAATGGGAAGGGCCTAGCAGTCGACCTACAAACGCAGGGAAAGCTCAGGCATCAACCAGTACCAGACCAAACTTTGCAAAGGGAGCCTGTTATAAATGTGGAGACAAGTACTACTTTGGTCATGTGTGTGATACAAGGAAACAGTTAAATGTGATGCAGGCTGATGATGGGGAGATTGTGGCACCAGAGGACTGGAGTGTGATGGATGAGGAGGACATGGAGGAAGTTGTAGCAGAAGACCAACAGCCTGAGGTGGTGGAGGTCTCCATGCAGGCCCTAAGCAGTGGGGGTCTATCCAATTCCTTGATTGTAAAAGGCAAAGTTAAGAATGAGAGGATATTTGTACTCATAGATACTGGGAGCACACATACCTTCCTGAGTGAGAGGAAGGCCAAGGATCTCAGGTGCAAGTTGGTTCAGGCTGAGACTCCACTGAGAGTTAGACTGGCAGATGGGATCATGCTGTTGAGCAGCTTGGTTTGCAAGGATTTTAGCTGGGAGATGCAGGGTCACAAGTTCACATTTGATATGAGAGTACTGAGCCTGGGAACAAATGATGTGGTTCTGGGGTTAGATTGGTTGAAAATTATCAGCCCAGTCAAGTTTGATTTCATCAATTTGCAGCTGTTTTTTGACTGGGAAGGGCAGGAAGTATCCTTGCAAGGGGTTCAGGACATGGCACAATGCAAGGCCATATCAGGCAAGACTTTACAGAAGATGATAAGGAAGACTAAAGCTACATTGGTTGGTCATTTGTTCAGCATCTCTGTGGAAACTGCAAATGCAGGTAAGGTTCCTGAATTCTTGGAATCTGTTGTGAATGAATTCAAGGATGTGTTTGGGAAACCTAAGACCTTACCACCAGCTAGATCATGTGACCACACCATTCCCCTTATACCAAATGCTCAACCTGTGAATCTTAGACCCTATAGATACTCAATTCCACAGAAGAATGAGATGGATAGATTGGTGAAAGAGATGATGGATTCCCAGTATATTCAGGACAGCAGGAGTCCCTATGCCTCCCCTGTGCTACTGGTTCTCAAGAAAGATGGTTCCTGGAGATTCTGTGTTGATTACAGGCAATTGAATTCACTCACTATTAAAGACAAATTTCCCATACCAGTAATTGATGACCTGTTGGATGAGTTAAGGGGGTCAAAATTCTTTACCAAGTTGGATTTATTGTCTGGATATCATCAGATAAGGATGAATCCCCAGGATCAGCATAAGACAGCCTTTAGAACACACCAAGGGCACTATGAATTCAGGGTGATGCCCTTTGGGTTAACAAATGCCCCAGCTACCTTTCAGGCCCTTATGAATCAGATCTTTGCCCCTCACTTGAGGAAGTTTATATTGGTTTTCTTTGATGACATTTTGGTGTACAGTCCTGATCAAGACAGTCACAAGGAGCACTTAGCCATCACTCTCAGCATTCTCAGGTCTCATACCCTATATGCTAAACCTTCCAAATGCTCATTTGGACAGACTCAGGTGGATTACCTTGGCCATATTATTAATCATGATGGGGTGGCAACTGATCCTGGTAAAGTGGAGGCTATGGTAGCTTGGCCTGTTCCTCAAAACATCAAGGCTTTGAGGGGGTTTTTAGGTTTAACTGGTTACTACAGGAAATTTGTGAAGAACTATAGTATATTGGCCAAACCTCTCACTGACTTACTCAGGAAAGATAGCTTCCAATGGTCTGCAGCAGCTCAGGGAGCCTTTGAAGTGTTGAAGGCAGCCATGGTGCATGCTCCAGTACTGGCATTGCCAGACTTCACTCAGCCTTTTGTCCTGGAGACTGATGCTAGTGACATAGGTATTGGAGCTGTGCTGTCACAGGGTGGAAAACCTCTGGCCTATCACAGTCAAGCTCTAGGTCCAAGGAAGCAAGGTCTGTCTACATATGAGAAGGAATATCAGGCAGTCTTGATTGCTGTGACCAAATGGAGACATTATCTGGAAGGAAGAAAGTTCATCATTATCACAGACCATGAGAGTTTAAAGCACTTACTAGGCCAGAAGATTCACACACAAATACAGAAGAAGGGCTTGGTAAAACTGTTAGGGCTTGATTTTGAGATTCATTACAGACAGGGCAGGTTCAATAAGGTTGCTGATGCCCTGTCCAGACATCCTAGGATGACTAATTCAGGCTCTTGCCAGGCTATTTCAGCTACCTTGCCTGCTTGGTTAGCTGAGATTGACAGCACTTATGAAGGAGACTTAGTGGTACAGGAGCTGATGATGGAGGCTGTTGTTCCTATGGTAGGGCCAAAACTTTATTCTGTGAAACAAGGGTTGCTATACCACAAGGCTGCTTTGTATGTGGGTTCCAAGGGTGACATGAGGTCCCAGTTGATGCAATTGTTCCATGACTCTCCTGTTGGGGGCCATTCTGGTCTCCAAGCCAACTATCAAAGGTTGAAACGTTACTTCTGGTGGCCTGGTCTTAAGAAGGATTTGAGAGAGTATGTACAGGCTTGTGACATTTGTCAGAGGTGCAAGACTGAGAATGTACCTTACCCTGGATTGCTGCAACCTCTGCCTATTCCTGATCAGGCCTGGAAACACATTTCCATGGACTTTATTGAGGGATTACCTAAGTCTCAAGGCAAGGAAGCAGTGTATGTGGTGGTGGATAGGTTTTCCAAATATAGCCATTTTTTCAGCTTAACCAAACCTTACACTGCCAGTTCTGTTGCACAGGTCTTCTTCGATGGAATTTTCAAACTGCATGGCTTGCCTCAGACTATTGTCTCTGACAGAGATTCCTTGTTTACAAGCACTTTTTGGTCTACCCTTTTCCAGTTGCAAGGGGTCAAGCTTCATTATTCTACTGCTTATCACCCTCAGTCAGATGGTCAGTCTGAAAGGGTCAATCGTTGCTTGGAAGAATATCTGAGAGGGATGGTTCATCATCATCCTCAGCAGTGGGCTAGCTGGTTAACCCTGGCTGAATGGTGGTATAATACCAACTACCATTCGAGCTTACAGGGTACCCCTTTTGAGGCCCTCTATGGTTATGCTCCTTCCCAGTTTTCCATCACCAATCCTCTTTCAACGGCTGTGGCAGCAGTGTCTGATAGACTTCAGCAGCAACATCGGCTGATTGGTGTGCTGCGAGCAAATCTGGCCAAAGCTCAGAATCGCCAGAAGCAAATGGCGGATGCTCACAGGACTGAGCGGTCGTTTCAGGAGGGGGAGAGGGTGTACTTGAAACTCAGGCCTTACAGACAGTCTTCTGTGGTGACCAGGTTGAATCAGAAGCTATCTCCTAAGTTTTATGGACCTTTTGAGATCGAGAAGAGGATTGGTAGCGTGGCCTATAGATTGAAATTGCCTCAGGGGTCTGTTATACATCCAGTATTCCATGTCTCCTTGCTGAAACGAGCTCGTGGTCAACAATATCACACACAACCAGCCTTGCCAGAGATTGATGACAATGGTGGATTGAAGGTAGAACCAGAGCTGATCTTGGCTAGGAGAGTTGTGGCCAGAAGTAATGCAGCAGCCACGCAAGTTCTGGTACAATGGACACACCAAGCGGAAGAAGATGCTACATGGGAATTCTTGGACGAGCTCAAGCGAAGATTTCCAGATTTTCAGACTTGAGGACAAGTCAT